TCTAAGAGATTTTGTTTTATGCAGTCCATATTAGGGATTTATATAGTCCAGGACATGCAGTGTGATGCAAAAATGCTAATATGCACATCTGGAGCTCTGTGGAACTGATTTCACTTCAGCTGGTGATCATGAAAAGACCCTGAGATGAGAATTGCAAGGCTCTGGTCCTGAACAGACAGGTCACCTTGGGAAAGTCGTTTTGCATCTTGGGACCTATTTTCTCCTTTCTAAAATGAAGTTTCTCAATGGATAATTTCTAAGTTCTCTCATAGTTCTAGCAATGTGAGATTCTGTGTAATATTAGAACTGTATGAGGCAGACCATCTGGTTTCTTGAGGTTCAAACTACATTCTAGAGACAAATCAAGCAACTTAAAATGTATGTGTGTGTGTGTATACACACAACACACTGCATGTCCCTGTACATACACACACACACACACACACACACACACACACACACACACACCCAACCTCGATGGTACTTCCAAAGGATTCTGGTCTGATGGGCAGAACTTCTGAGTTTGGCTGCCATGCAAAGCAAGGCTTTCTGTCTGTGTACTTGAGGATGACATGTTTGGAAAGAAATAGAATAGCTATGACATCTCTTAATCTTAATTATAATTTAATAATTTACCCAGGATTCACACATGGAAGTTTTGGGGTTCTAATTAATATTAAAAATTGACAAAGTACAGCCAGATCCAAGGGTAGTTGGATATTTTCAGGTCTATGGAAAGTTAAATTGATTAATATAACCATTTGACCTAGTTTAGCCTCCATATGTGGAAGCCAATCTTCATTTTTCAGATGTTATTTCATTGATCATTGAGTCCTGCTAAAATGTAGTTATCACACTTATTCACTGAGGTTTAAAATCAAGCAAATTTCTTGCCTTTAGATACTAAAATCATGCTAATATGCTCTTTTTCTTAACTTTTTTTATTAAATGACCTTATATTTGTTCAAATTTTATAGAGTTTTTCTATCCAGTCTTTCATTTAATCATCACAACAGCCTTCTCTGATAAGCTGGAGGTGAAACGCTGTCTCCATTTTAGAGAAGAATATCTGAGATTCAGGTGCCAAGATCACATGTCTAGAAGTGACCACACCCCCAGTTATTTTTTCACACTTTTCATTACCAGTGAATGGATGGGTTTGTTCTGCTATTCAAAGGGCATCTTGCTCAAGGCTGGTATATATTTGCAAGCTCCTCACTAATGGCTAAATGTCCTTATACCACAAGAAATTACTCAGAAAAACACAGTGTGAATGATTAATCTATATGCTGCTGACAGAAATGAATGATGAAAGGATACTTTGGAGAAGAATATTCCATGTATTGTCATAAAATTTTATTAATGTTTTTGATAAGTGTAAACTATGTGAGGAGTGCTTAAGAAGATAAAATGAACTTACAGAGCTGGACGGGGGGAGCACCACAGACAAGGAACAGCTTCTAAGGAAAATCAAAAGGTGCTGGAAGTGGAATAACCAGAGAAATGTACAGACCAGTTACACTGCCCATGAGTGGGATTTATTTTCTGCAAGTTCAAATTTCTCAACTTATACACCCAATTCAAGGCTGCCCCCTTCAAAGGAGTCGTCTTGAGAAGCTGTATAGTTATTCCACTGATAGTGCTTATTAATTGAATTATTTCTGGAACTTCTCTTTTACAATTGCCTTCAGAAATAGATACTTTCCTTTAAATATTCTTAATGGTGTTTTAGATAAAGGCAGAATTATTCAGCACAATGTCTGATGAAAAGGTGGATGCTTAAGGCGGATAATTCATTTCCCTCCCATTCTTCTTCTTCCTTATCCCTCTCTCCTCCATCTCTCTCTTCCCTCCTCCCACCTTTCCTCTTTCTTTCCTTCCTCTTTCCTTTTATTCCTTTCTTTTTCCTTATTTCCTTCTTCCCTTCAAAATAGGTGAGATCAAATTGTTTTACATGTCTCATAAACTTTATCTGAAGACTCCAGAAATTTTTCGGAGTCTTTGTAGTAAGAATACATTTCCGAGTAAATTTTATTGGTGGTTACATTCTTGTTTGTTGATTTGAAATACCCTGTCTTGTGGTTTTGTAATTATATTATCTGCAATGAATTCTTCAGGGCTTTTGGTTAGAGTGTCATTGCAGACTATAGGAAACCTGAGTTTTAGTTTTTACACTAATGATGGGCTTAGGTGAGCAGCTCTGCACTGAGAGCTGAGGGGCAGGGCAAGGAGTGGAGCAGACTGAGGATCGAGTTGTGTTGGGGATGCTACATGGCACTGAGTGAAGGTGTCTGGAGAGAGTCTGGTATGGTAGAAAACGTGAAGCGTGGCATGTAAGAACTATGTAAAGGACTTGGGATGCTAAGCCTGATGAGAATCTGGCTGGTGTCAGGAAAAGACATGGAACTGGAGCTATTGCTTAAAATGTTACTTCTGCTCCCAGTTAGTTGTGTAACTGTCATACTGGACCCTTATTGACTCCAATAGTGATGGCATCATATCTGAAAGGCATAAGAAGAGACCCAGAGACAATGAATGAGATATAACATTTATTGGGGGAACTGAACTCACATACAAGGACAATCCAGTGGCGGTGGGCTGGGCAGGAGAACTGCTACCATTTGTAAAATGCATGCAGTTTATATAGCATTTTCATTTAGCAACGTTCATCTAAACTTTGATTTAACCCAAAACAAAGGGCTTTGATCTCCTGTATGGCCTGCATTCCAAGGGATGAACTGGGGGTTCAGATGTCCTTCACAGATTAAAAGGGGAATCTCTGGGTTGGCTCTTCCCAGATTCTTTAGCTTAGGACTCTGAACATACATTTTTCTTAGATTGTAGGGTCATTCTCAAGGCATGCTTAAGTTATTGCTGTCAGGTGCATCTGCCATATGATAACATTGGACAAATAATTTAACCTCCTTGTGCTTGTTTTTTAATCCATCAAGTTAAAATTATGGAAATAAAGGAGTTTAACAGTATTTTAAAGAGTAAAATTGATTTCATAAGGAATGTATGATGCTCTCTACATGAGAGTTCCTCATGTAGAAGGAGGATTAGACGAAGACTGTAGAATCTCTAAAGAGAAAACAGGTGTTAAAGGGTTGCAGGGGAGAAGGTTTCAGCTTTAAGTAAGAAAGAACTAAGTAGCCAGTACTGAGATGGCTACCTTGAGCCCAGAAGGTGCCATGAAAAGTTCCCCATCAGTGAAAGAATTCAGGAAGAGCTGGGAAGACCAATTTTATGATCCAGAAGGGAAGCATAAACTGTAGTAAGTGGTAGGTTAGTTGATTATTATGAAATACTCTTTCAGTTCTAAGATTCTAGAAATCACTACTCTCTTGGGGTCTTCTGTGTTCTTGATTGCATTTGTGAAGTTACACAAGACCAGGGAATGACAGACTTAAACATCCCAGGTAGTTCTGGAAGTGAGAAGTGACCCATGAGGGTTTGGTTCATGTTGCATGGGCATCATTAGAATCACCAGAAGGATATGTATCCTAGCAACCTTGTTGTTTAACCTAATGTTAGTTGGAAGAATCAGTGAAGACTCCCAGTTTCATTAAATGACAGGACTTAAAAGAAGAATCTTTCAGCTGCCTTCTTCAGCATCCTCACTGCAATTACAAGATGCCCCTTTTGCTTCTTAGCAGGGACATGTCTCAAAAGCAACATCAGGCCCAAGGCTCCAGAGTAGCATGTCATGTGAACACAGAGATAATCATTATTGATTCCTTGGGCCATTATGGTAAAGGGACATTCATTACCATCAGTGCAGTTGCACTAATGCAGTTGTAATGAGCATGCCTTTGGGAATTCCCAGTGAGGGGACTGCTCATCAGATGACAGCAGCAGAGGGGAAAAGGGTGGGCTAAAGCAAAAGTGTTCATGAGGAATACAGTTTCATTGGTCTGACTCTAGTTACCTCCAGAGTTTCTGTTAATCTATGCACAAGTAACCAGAGCACTCTGTCAAATGCCTCTCCCTCCTTTCTTATTCCTTAGTATTTTCTGTTCCCTATACATAGAGTCATAACCCTGGTTTCCAGATGCATCCTTTCACAGCACATCCCTGCTTACTGGACTCATCTCACAACCCTTAGAAGTATGGACTTGGCAAGAACTTAGCAAGAGTTAAAGAGTCTGTGCATATCTCTGGGATAGAGACCCTAAGCTCCTACATGCCGCCTTTCTTAGCAGAAGGTCATCTTGGTACACTCTTACTTTCATTTCTTGACTCTACTGCCCCTATCCTTTAATTCACCTTTGTTTTTCAATAACAATTGTTAGCACTTAATGAGATTCTACTATGCACCACGTCGCATGGTAAGTGGTTAACCTGCTATCTCATTTTAGCCTTACAAACCTAACTAAGTAGGTCCCTTTTATTATTCTAGTTTTTGCAGATAGGGAAAAAAGCCAAGGCTCAAAAAGGCTGAGTAATTTGCTCAGTCATACCAATGGACTGAACTTAAACCAAACACCTTTTAAACAATTTTTATCTTTAATCTTATTTGAAGTTCTGGGGTACATGAGCAGGATGTGCAGGTCGTTATATAGGTAAACGTGTGCGATGGTGATTTGCCACACCTGTCAACCCATCACCGAGGTATTAAGCCCGGCAGGCACTAGCTATTTTTCCTGATGCTCTCCGTCTCCCCACCTCCGTGCCTGCAGGCCCCAGTGTATCTTATTCCCCTCCCTGTGTTTATGTGTTCACATTGTTCAACTCCTACTTATAAGTGAGAACATGCAGTGACCAAACATCTTTTAGGTAAAATGTTTATATGATTTTTTTCAGATGATTCCTAGCATGTGAAAACTGGGATGACTCTATTGCATAATCAAATAGGAGTTCAAGGAGTACCAAGTTTGATCATGGTATCTGTATTGCTATTTGCTGGTCTGTCTCCAGCCAGCTTTCTCTGTATATACCTAACTGCCTTGTTCATGGCAGACCTTCGTACTTTTAATCTTCCCTTTATTTTATCTTTACAGGTATCTGATCAATGTCACTTTTGAGGGGAGGAATCTGTCCTTCAGTGAAGATGGTTACCAGATGCACCCGAAGCTGGTGATAATTCTTCTGAACAAGGAGAGGAAGTGGGAAAGGGTAAGACAGGTCTTTGATAATTCTCGAGCAAAGTAGAGATGTGAAATTTTGTGACAATGGAAGGAAAGTGGTCCTTTGGTTTCTGTCCCTAGACCTGTGGAGCAAGGGATCAATACTTTGATACACAGGAGAAGACATTTCTCAAACGTGCATCTTCATTTTCTTGCTGTTTTGGTTCATCAGGAGATTGTTTTCTTTATGTGTTACCACTTACTATTGATAATCGCATCGCTCTCTGAACCATGACTTTGTTTTCGTGGAAGACTATGTGTGTATAATACTTGGTGAAGAAGCCGAATTAGTGGTGCAGTTCAGAAGGTGTGTCCTAGAGAGCGTCTGGGGAGCTTATAAAGACGAATTTGTGAAAAAGAAAGGTTTAGACTTACTGTGATGGAGGGATTCCCACGCAAGGCTCTGCTCAGAATCTCTTCCACTGCCAGTTGATCACAGTGTTTGAAATTCTACCATCAGAAATTAATTTATTTGGGCACCAGACTGTGTAGGTCCAATTCCCAGCTCTATTTAGGATCTTAAACAAATCTTTTCACTACTTGGTGCCTCAGTTTTCTCATCCATAGAATGGAAATAATAATAAAAGTACCACAGGTATGAGGATTAAGTACATGTGAAGTGTTGAGTACATGGTAAGCACTCAATTCGTATCAGAATTTTCATTATTCCAGATTCTCAGTTAAATACAAATATTACTGAGAGTAATGTCATCACCGCTTTTTCTCCAAATATGTTCTACGGTGCTCTTGTCTCGCAAGACATTTTGCTGAAAAATAGTTTTACAGATAAATGAAGTTGGGAGAGGCTACCTGCTGTTTCTCACTCTAGGAGAGTAAAACATACTAACCCTTGAAAGTTCAGAGGTGTCTTACGAGAAAGAAACATTTAATTTTATTTAGAATGGAACTTCCCAAAATTATTCTACCTCGAGACCTCCTTGTTCATCATATTCATATTCTGTGAAAACATGTTGGGAAACTGCTTTAACGCAACTTCCACAGATTCCATGGGCCAAGTGGCTGAGAACAGGCTTCAAAATGTTAGCATGGTTCTACCTAGAATGGAAATTCACTGATATCTTTCTAGAGAGTTACCAGGAAGTGAGGCCAGAGATAAACTTCCTGAAATTCACAACCTCATCACAGAGAGCCCTCGACAGTTAGTTATGTGAACGTGTGAACGCTCGCCCAAGAAACTAGGTATGTAAGTCTCAGGCAGTAGAATCCAAGACGTAACTCGTTAAGCTGAAAGACCTCAATCTATCATGCATTTTCTCTTATCAGATAGCACATAACTATAAGGCTTAAATGATGCCAGCTTTTTATTATAATTATTATTATTATTTTGAGACAGGGTCTCATTCTGTCACTCAGACTAGAGTGCAGTGGTGCTATCATACCTCACTGCAACCTCAAAATCCTGGGCTCAAACTGTCCTCCCACCTCAGCCTCCCAAGTAGCTGGGATTATAGGCATGCACCACTGGACAACTTTTAAATTTTTTGTAAAAATGAGGTCTCACTATGTTGCCCAGGGTGGTCTTGAACTCCTGACCTCAAGTGATCCTTCTGTCTCAGCCTCCCAAAGTGCTGGAATTAGAGGCGCGTGCCACCGCACCTGGCCTGCCTGACGTTCTTGGTTCAAGTTGCCCTCCCTCCACGGAGTTATCATTTGTTCAGAAATGGTTGTTCCCTGTGCTTCTACTCTTCACTCCAGTCAAGCTGCTTTCACTGCTGCTGTGGAGACGTCACAGTCTAAGAAGTGTTCTGGACTCCTCATGTATAACAGGCACTTCTGTCTGTCTCCGAAAGAGGTGCTATTAATAACCGAGGCTTCATAGGTGGCTCATAAGATGTCCAGAGGAGGCAGCTTTTTTGCACTAGGCCCACAATTACTGTCTCAAGCAGGAGGAGGCGTCTCACAACTGCCTTTTCTTTTTTTTTTTTTTTCTGTTTTTTTTTTATTGCATTTTAGGTTTTGGGGTACATGTGCAGAGCATGCAATACAGTTGCATAGGTACACACATGGCAGTGTGTTCTGTTTGCTTTCACCCCTTCACCCACATTTGGCGTTTCTCCCCAGGCTATCCCTCCCCACCTCCCCCTCCCACTGGACCCCCCTTTTCCCCCCAATAGACCTCAGTGTTTAGTACTCCCCTCTCTGTGTCCATGTGTTCTCATTTTTCATCACCCGCCTATGAGTGAGAATATGCGGTGTTTCATTTTCTGTTCTTGTGTCAGTTTGCTGAGGATGATGTTCTCCAGATTCATCCATGTCCCTACAAACGACACGAACTCATCATTTCTGATTGCTGCATAATATTCCATGGTGTATATGTGCCACATTTTCCCATTCCAGTCTATCATCGATGGGCATTTGGGTTGATTCCAGGTCTTTGCTATTGTAAACAGTGCTGCAATGAACATTCGTGTGCATGTGTCCTTATAGTAGAACGATTTATAGTCCTTTGGGTATATACCCAGTAATGGGATTGCTGGGTCAAATGGAATTTCTATTTCTAAGGCCTTGAGGAATCGCCACACTGTCTTCCACAATGGTTGGACTAATTTACACTCCCACCAAGAGACACCACTCACCATCAGGTCATACTGACTCCTCTTCCTGAGTCTGCGATCTGAGACCTGTGCCCTCAACCCCTTTCCAGAACTAGCCCCTCCTTCTTAGTGTTTGGATGCCTTCCCTTACAATTCTACTTTTATTCTAGATCTTGAATTTATTCTTTACTTTATGTATGATCTAAGAACTGTGTGATGATTTTTTGAGTGGGCCTCCTCGTCCCTGGCCCCTGTCTTTACCCCTTCAGATCAGTCCAAACTATGGCTGCCAGAACGAGTTTCCTGAAGCACAGCTCTGATTGTGATGTTCTTTCTCTGCCCAAAGCCCACTGGAGCCTTCTGTGGTTTATAGACTCGGGATAGACTTTATCTGTTCTTGCATTCAAGGCTCTGGTCTACCTTCTGAGTCTTCCTTCTCCTCACGATTTCCTGTCTCACAATTGAGCTACCCTGGGCTTCTTTCTGTTCTGAGAATGTGCCTTTGTAGGTCCTGTTCCCTGGAACATCATGATGTTTCTTCCTAGAATGAATTACCCAATTATATAATCATTACCGTCCTTTGAAACCCAATTGAAATATTGCAGCTTCCTTCCCTCATCTTTGCCTGAGATAAAATCTCACACTCCCTTGTCCCCTGTCGATTTTGTCCATACGTCGGTGGTAGCGCCCATCACATCTGTCCCGTGTTTGAGTTGTGCGTGTCCTTATCTTATTGTGTCCCATGGCAACCTGGAAGAGCATGTTTCATAGAGCAGTTCAATAAACATTTGTAGCATGTATGAGAATCATTACGTAATAAAAGAATCCCCAAATCTATCATTAACAATCCAAGTTTATGTTTTTGCCCTTGATATGATAGCTGTTGTTTTGTGGGGAGGGGGAGGAGAAAATCTTTGTGAAGACTGAATTTTGATAGATCATTCTTTACGTGTACTGTAGGAAGTTGCTATTTAAAGGAATTCTGTGGTTAATCTTTTTGTAAGGCATTTTGGGAGGTGCTGAGATAATAGAATAGAATGCTTTCACATCCATTCGTTTAAACCAGGGAACACTTTGGAAGATAGATGTCTAGTGTTCATTGAGGTCATAGAGCCATGCAGCTCCCCAGCGTGGAGGCTCCTGTTAGGGCTGACTCGTGGGCAGGGAGGATGGCAGGAGCTCAGCATGGCTCCAGGGAATGGATGGGTTATGGTGACGTTGCATCATAGGAAGTTGCATTGGTCCTTCCACTGTTATACTTGTCCTCAGGACATCAACCTCAAGATGCCTAATGCTGCTTCAGAAGGTCCCCTGGTCCAGGGAGGATTTAGTGTCAGTGGACTCCAGGGAGGCAGGCACCAGGGTCAAGATTCTACAGGGAGGAGTCGAACACTGAACAGATGAGCAGGGGATAGGCCGGGTGAGGTGGCTCATGCCTGTAATCCCAGAATTTGGGAGGCCGAGGCGGGTGGATCACGAGGTCAAGAGATCAAGACTATCCTGGCCAACATGGTGAAACTTCATCTCTATTAAAAATAAGCTGGGCACAGTGGCTCACGCCTGTAATCCCAGCACTTTGGGAGGCCAAGACGGGTGGATCACGAGGTCAAGAGATCGAGACCATCCTGGTCAACATGGTGAAACCCCGTCTCTACTAAAAATACAAAAAAATTAGCTGGGCACGGTGGTGCGTGCCTGTAATCCCAGCTACTCGGGAGGCTGAGGCAGGAGAATTGCCTGAACCCAGGAGGCAGAGGTTGCGGTGAGCCGAGATCGCGCCATTGCACTCCAGCCTGGGTAACAAGAGCGAAACTCCGTCTCAAAAATAAATAAATAAATAAAAATTTTAAAAAATTAAAATAAAAATAAAAAAATTAGCTGGGCATGGTGGCACGTGCCTGTAGTCCCAGCTACTTGGGAGTCTGAGGAAGGAGAATTTCTTGAATCCAGGAGGTGGAGGTTGCAGTGAGCCAAGATCACACCGCTGCACTCCAGCCTGGCAACAGAGCAAGACTCTGTCTAAAAAAAAAAAAAAAAAAAATAGCCGGGGTGGAATGTGGATTTGTAGAAGAAATATGGGCTACAGACAGCACTCTCAGCCACTGGTCAGGCCACTAACTAGACGTGGGATCTGGTTTTTCCATTTTTCTACATTCTTCTTTTCTCCTCACGAAAATAATGCCGTGGGACTAAGAAGACTTCTTGGGGTCTTTCTTGTGCTGCTTCTGGGACTGGAGAATCTCCTTGTAAATAAATAGCAGATTGGAATAGAAATTGTGTGAGGGATGGAACAACCAGGAACCTGGGCTTGTTTTGAAGGGTGTGGCTCTGAGGGCATATTTGTCATTCCTGTCATTTAAGTAAGTATTTCCCCAGAAAGGCCTTTCTGATGACCCATGCCGAGACAGTCACCCAGTCACCCTAACAGTAGATT